CCCGCCCCTTCCAACAGGGTCTGCCCAGGCTGGAGTGTTAGTGGCACTATCACAGCTCACTGCAGACTTGACTTCCTGGGCTGAAAATCCTTCCACCTAAGCCTTTCAAGTAGCTTAGGACTACAGGTATGCGCTGCCATGCCTGGCTAATGTTTTATTTTTGTAGAGATAGGAGTCTCACTATGTTGCTCAGAACTCTTGGCCTCCAACAATCCTCCCAAGGTCCTGCCACCAGACTCTTTTTAACAAACCATTCTCATGGGAACTAATCCATTACTGAACCCTGATAGGGGCATTAATCTATTCATAAGGGATCCACCCTGTGACCCAGATACCTCCCACTAGACCCTACCTTCCAGCACTGCCACGTTGGGGATCAAATTTCAGCATGAGTTTTGGTGGGGACAAGCTACATCCATACCATAGCAGCTTCTTTCATTTAGCATGATGTTTCCAAGGTTCATCCATGTTGTAGCATGTATTGGTACTTTATTCTTTTTTATTGCTCAATAATATTCCATTGTATGGTATGCCATATTAGTTTTACTGACGGACTATTGGGTTGTTTCCACTTTCTAGCTAATATAAATAATGCTGCTATGACTATTTGCATACAGGTTTTTGGTGGACATTCCTACCAGCAATGTTCATGAGTTTGAGTTTCTCTACATTATTGCAAATGCTTGTTATTGCCTATCTTTTGTTTTATACCATCATAGTGGATATGTAATGGTATTTGTGGTTTTGATTTGCATTTCCCTGTTGACTCATGATGTGGAGCACCTTTCCATATGTTTATTGGCCTTTTGTATATCTTCTTTGGAGAGAAGTGTATTCAAATCTCATGCCCATTTTTATTTGTATTGTCTTTTTTGAGTTGGAGTTTTTTATAAATTCTGGGTACAAATTCTTATCAGTTACTTGTAAATATTTCTCCCATTTCTGTGGACTGGCTTTTTATTTACTTGGTAGTGTTTTTTGCAGTACAAAAGTTTTATGTTTTTGTGTAGCTTAGTTTATCTATTTTTTCTTTTGACACTGGTACTTTTGGTATCATGGCTAAGAAACCATTGGCCAACTCATGGTCATTAAGATTTACCCCTAAGCCGGGCTCAGTGGCTCAGCCTGTAATCCCACGCTTTGGGAGGCTGAGGTGAGTGGATTGCCTGAGCCCATGGGTTTGAGACCCGCCTGGGCAACTTGGCGAGACCTCATCTCTACAATAAATAAATTAAAAAAAAAATTAGCCGGGTGTGGTAGCGCATGCCTGTAGTTCTAGCTACTGGAAGGCTGAGGCAGAAGGATCACCGGAGCCCAGCAGGTCGAGGCTGCAGTGGCCGGGAGCGGCCACTGCACTCCAGTCTGGGTGACAGAGTGAGACTCCAACTCAAAAACAAAAAAAAGATTTATCCTTAGATTTTCTTCAGAGTTTTGTAGTTTTGGCCCTTACATTAAGTCTGTGATCCATTATGAGATAATTGATGTTAATTTGGTATGGGGTGAGGTAAAGTTCTTCCTTAATTCATCATACTTAATGATACTTCTCTGTGAAGGAGTAGCCACTTACTAATTTGAAAGGTCTTCAGTGATGTAAAAGACCTTCAAGTGGGATTACATGAGATCAGCCTGGAGCGAGTGTGTTAGAATAGGTTTCCATCCTCTGTTCTCAAGCATGTAATAAGAACTTGAAGGCAGGTTTCCTGGGGTCATCTGCAATGAGGATGATTTCATTTGGGCTGATTTCTCTCCAGTCAAACAGAGTGAAATTTAAAATGTTTCCTATTCTTTCACTGCATTAAATAAGCTATAAAATGTGGACGCAAACCCCCAATTTAATTTAGTTTCAAGCTGAATTATCACCATTAAAGAGATGATTATATCAGGATAGAAGAGAAATGATCTTTTCTGTCTTACTCTGAGCTGTTGCAGCATTTATTTTAATCAGTAAAACAACACCCTACTTCTTGGGGGTCTTGGGAATTCAGTAGTTGGATTTTGGCAAGTGGTAGAGCGGCAAGGAGGGAAGATAGGGGATCGGAGGAGTCAGCCCAGTTCAGCAAACTGCCCAGAGGCAAACTGATGACAGATCTGGCATTGACAATGGAGGGATCTGGCTAGCATTTGTTATTTCAAATGGCCTGCCTTAGAATTGCTCTCATGATATGAGAAGAACACAGGGCACAGGATACTGTCATGGCACATCTGTGGCTTATCAGGTCCTGGACCTAGAAGAAAATCCAGATGGTGACTGAGAGGGCAAGGGAGTTGACAGAGGACAAGGGAGTTGACAGAAGACCGGGACAAAGTGAGGTATCTGCTTGTTGTATCTGTATCTGCTTGTTGTATCCTTGGAAAGAGCAGTCTCTACAGAATAGTGGGGACAAAGTGAGTCTGTCATGGATTGAGGAGAGAGCAGGAGCAAGAGGAGTCCTCAGGGTCATCTCCTTATTATTACGTTCTTGAATAGATGTCATTAGAAATATCAGTTTTTAAAAACTGGGTATCGAGAGCTCAGTAGAGATCTTTTCTTTAATGTAATGGCACTCTGATGTCAAATTGAGTTTGGTAGTGCCTGAGTCATCTTTTGGATACCTTTTTTTTTTGCATTTACTTTTTCCCATTTTCTTTCTTTTTTTTAATTGAAAAATTTTTTTTATTTTAAAGTTGTGGAGTACAATTCAGGATTAGGCAAACAAATGTTCATTATGCAAGTACCCTTGTTGATAAGGTGTGCCCCTCCCTCCCTTGGCCGTTTCTTTCAACTACCAATCCTACCCCCCAACAGTTTCGCACTACTGCCAATTCCTTTCTTATAGTAGTATGATAATTGTTCAAGGTCCACCTATGAGTGAAAACATATGGTACTCTGTTCTTTGTTTCTGTGATAGATCACAGATTATGATAGACTCTAAATCCATCCAAGTTGCTGCGAAGTCCATATGTTTCTCCTTCTTTATGGCCGCATAATAGTCCATTGTGTATATGTACCACATTTTTAAAAATCCAGTCCAGCTTTGATAGGCAGCATGGTTGGTTTCTTGTTTTTGCTATTGTGAATAGCGCTGCAACAAACATGCATGTGCAGGTATCTTTTTGGCAGAGTGACTTGAGTTCCTCTAGGTATATTCCTAATAGGGGGATTGCTGGATCATATGGAAGGTCAATTTCTAGTTCTTTCACAAATCGCCACACTGTCTTCCAAAGAGGTTGCACTAGTTTGCATTCCCATCAGCAGTGTAGAAGCATTCTTTTTTTCCTGCATCCTCGCCAACATCTGTTGTTGTTTGTTTTATTAATGATGGCCATTCTTACTGGGGTGAGGTGGTATCTCAGTGTGGTTTTGATTTGCATGTCTCTGATAATTAGAGAGGCTGAGCACTTTTTCATGTGTCTGTGGCTGCCCATATATCTTCTTTTGAGAAGTGTCTATTCATGTCTTTTGCTCACTGTATAATAGGGCTGTTTGTTTTTTTCCTTTTGGCGTGTTTGAGTTCCTTGTAGATCCTAGATGTTAGGCCTTTGTCAGATATACAGTTGGCAAACCTTTTTTTCTCATTCTGTGAACTGTCTCCCTGCTCTCTTGATGTTTTATTTTGCTTTGTAGAAGCTTTTCAGTTTGATGAGGTCCCACTTGTCTATCTTATCTCTTATGGTATGGGCATTTAGGGTTTTGATCAGGAATTGGTTGCCAGTTCCAATTTCCATAAGGGTGTCTCCTGCACTTTCTAAGATTCTTATAGTTTGAAGT